GTTCAGAACATTGACAAGAATCCTGGCTTTATAGTTACTSGGGTTATAATTTTTTGTAGAAAAAACACAGAGGGATTACTTTGCTTAGCGAAGGTGGACAGTAAGAGAAAAAGGAAATTAAAGAAAGAGGGAAAAAAAGAAAAACGTTTTAGCGAGTTTGCTCAATGAAATGAAGCCTTTCAACTTAAGAAACCACAGCCTATTGTTTTGAAGTGGAGAATAAATATTTTCCCAAGAACAACTTTGGAAGTAGTTTTTATGAGACATATTACAAATAAAATTAGACCAATTATATTAATAGTGCAAAAAATAAAGTGCTTTTTATTCACTATAGCGAAAATATGTCAATGCAATTTCGCCATAAAATTTACTTCAGAAGCTTTACTAGAAGCATTGCTTGTGTAAGAAAGAAAAGCCGTGAAATTCTCAGAAGAGATATAAACTAGCTAAAAACTAGTGTGAGCTGCGTCGGTGTTTCTAATGAAACAGTAATGATAAAAGGGTAAATTTTACACCGTGAAAAGATGAAGAAATGAAAAAACTTACTGACGTTTAGGACGCTATAGTCCTTCGTTGAAGTTTTATTCATTTTATTCGATACTTATAGACTTTTTTTTTTGAAGTTAAAGAGCCAAATGTCAATACTGCAATATGGTCCTCTATTTTTTGGTTGTCAACCCGGGTTTTATTAAGGATTTGTTCCTCTATCGTTTTATCGACATTTATTTGAAACCTAGAGAGCTTTTATGAGTGGTTATAAGAAGTTGCTTTAAAGCAAATACTACTTCATGGAAAACCAATTCAAGTGTTTTACCAAATCTTCCCGAGAAGCCATTCCAGTGCTTTACCCAAATTTCTCTCTTAACTCGGTCTGATTAAAYATATCATTTACGTATATGGTAACGGCTAGATACGTGTTTAATAGGCTCTACAAACTTAAAATGCAATCGAAAAAGCTGAAAAAATAAGATTATAGTTTTTAAGGGATAATTTTTCAAAATTGCAAACAAATGCATCATTAAAGGGATAGCCTTTTCCAGGGGCAAAATTTCTCGTTGTCGTTCTCCTTCTCATTATTTTTCTCCTTTTCTGCCTTCTTTTTTCCTCACACACACACAAGCAACTTTACTGTAGCCAAGAATTGATTTTCTTCCTTCAATGTCTCCGTTCATAAGAGCAGGTTCAATTTTTTCGAAGACTATTTTCCCCAAGTTTATTCAGCTGTCATTCTTAGTATCCTTTTCATCAAAAATTCCCCGTTTCGCGACAGTCTTAAGTGCTTTTAAAGATACATTATAAGTTAAAAAGATTAACCTATTGTTCATATAGCGGATACTTAATAAAAAACATTCTCTCCAAGTTATCAAATTATAGAAGCTTTTGCTCTAGACTTTTTTTTAAAAAAGCACAAACTCGTTTACAGTAATTTAGATATGTTATCTTTATTCACGTTTTTTTCTGTTTTTTTTTTCCCCCTTTGTTTTGTTTTTTTTTTCTTTGTTTTTTTCTTCTTCTTTTTCGCCTAGAACTCGAAATATTTACGGTTTGAAAAGCATTTTAAGGCTGACGAAAAACATCAAATTTGGTTTCAAAATACTCGACTAAACCTCTTSTTTGGCAATCCACTTCTTGTTCAGATGCAACGCGCCACAATTCTCTTCCTTCCTACAGTTATTAATTAATAACCAGTTACAATAACAGAAAATAAACTTTTTTCTTATATTGAGAAACGCTTTTAGAAAGAATATGCACTTCCTGCTTCCTCTACCTTCAATACAGGTGTTWAAAGACTTTGAACTCTATAAATACTCTTGAAGCCAAAACTACTTACGAAAGTCTTATCCTAAGTCTAAAAAAAATATTSTAGGTTTTAAAGTTTAAATTGTAGTCGTTATCAATGATTTGTCAAAGAGTTYTCGTCCTGTATTTGGTCATTGCGTTGTTTTTGTTGATAAAAGAAAACTGTGGACTGGCTGGAGGACTCTGTCATGGCAATGCAAAAATCGTACATCGAAGACTTTGTCGACGAACGCTGGTATAGTAAACCCCAATAGAAAGTATTTTGAAATGATCTTAAGTTTAAAAGAAAGATTTTCTAAAAAAAAGAGTTCCATTTTTGTGGGATTTCGAATCTTGAAAAAATTTTTCGCTTAATTCAAAGTCAGTTTTTTTGTTTTTTGTTTTGTGCAAAAGAGAGTAAGACTATTAATTCTTTTTACGAGAATTCCATTGCTTAACGTAATAATTTATTTAAAAAAATACTTTTTGTGGGATTTCGAATCCTGAACGAGAAATTCCGCTTAGTTTGAAGTTTTATGCTGTGCAAAAAAGAGTAAAACTGTTAAAATAAAAGATTACAAGAATTCCATTGTTTAATGTTAAANACTATTTACTTCATGTAGAATCAATGCTGAAATATTGATTCAGGCGTCATAGGCACTTTAAAAGTTTCGCGGAACGTTTCTTGTACGTACGTAACTTTTTTTTCTTTAGCATTTTTTTATTTGTAGAGATACAATACATTGACACTAAAAAATAAATGTCAGCACCAAATATTTAGTGTCCAAAAGATCGAAGGAAAATATAAATTAAATTGCTTCATCAATGTTGGATAAAAGATGTTGATATAAGTTACGTTGAAAATGCAAATAATGTTAACAGTGGCCATAACCGATAATGGACAATTATTCGTCAAACGTGAGTTGCAAAAGTAGAGGAGAACATATGAGCAGTTAATATCTGACAAGCGAAGATTTTTTAATAAATTGCATAGAAGAAAGTATGTCGCGTCAAAGATCGGGGTAGACATTTTGAAAACAAAAGATTCCATATATGGTCAGAACCCATTAAATAACACAGTAGACATAGATTAATGCGGGAGATTCGAAATCCAATAGAAATTTCTTGAACTGGAAAATTGAATATCACGGTTCGCTTAATCTGAATTTTCGGAAAAACCTCGTAAAAATCCAAACTTATACTGTGGGGGTATAGCGGACAAGCAGCCCTAACTTGCCCTGATTCTTTTTCTACAATTTACTGCAAATATGGCAGCCTGCTTTTTTTTTCTTTTTTTTTTTTTTTTTTTTTTTTTTTTTTTTTTTTTTTTTTTTTGGTTTGGTTTTTTCTTCTTCTTTTTCGCCTAGAACTCGAAATATTTACGGTTTGAAAAGCATTTTAAGGCTGACGAAAAACATCAAATTTGGTTTCAAAATACTCGACTAAACCTCTTGTTTGGCAATCCACTTCTTGTTCAGATGCAACGCGCCACAATTCTCTTCCTTCCTACAGTTATTAATTAATAACCAGTTACAATAACAGAAAATAAGCTTTTTTCTTATATTGAGAGACGCTTTTAGAAAGAATATGCACTTCCTGCTTCCTCTACCTTCAATACAGGTGTTAAAAGACTTTGAACTCTATAAATACTCTTGAAGCCAAAACTACTTACGAAAGTCTTATCCTAAGTCTAAAAAAAATATTGTAGGTTTTAAAGTTTAAATTGTAGTCGTTATCAATGATTTGTCAAAGAGTTTTCGTCCTGTATTTGGTCATTGCGTTGTTTTTGTTGATAAAAGAAAACTGTGGACTGGCTGGAGGACTCTGTCATGGCAATGCAAAAATCGTACATCGAAGACTTTGTCGTCGAACGCTGGTATAGTAAATCCCAATAGAAAGTATTTTGAAATGATCTTAAGTTTAAAAGAAAGATTTTCTAAAAAAAAGAGTTCCATTTTTGTGGGATTTCGAATCTTGAAAAAAAATTTCGCTTAATTCAAAGTCAGTTTTTTTGTTTTTTGTTTTGTGCAAAAGAGAGTAAGACTATTAATTCTTTTTACGAGAATTCCATTGCTTAACGTAATAATTTATTTAAAAAAATACTTTTTGTGGGATTTCGAATCCTGAACGAGAAATTCCGCTTAGTTTGAAGTTTTATGCTGTGCAAAAAAGAGTAAAACTGTTAAAATAAAAGATTACAAGAATTCCATTGTTTAATGTTAAATTGCTTTGGCTTGTAATAATTTATTTAATTAAGAGTTGAATTTTTATATAACATTTTATCTCTTAAAAGTTCATTTTACCAATTACTTCTTATTAACCCCCTGCATTTTTAAAACCAGAAACAAAGAGAAATAATYTTAAATGAAGATGAACTACTGAACGAAAGAAGACCATTTCAAGATGAAATCGCAGAGGTAGGAACGATGAATCTTCGAAAAAATTGTGAGGAACACTAAATGGATAAAAAATATTTGAAGAAAAYCTTTCATGTTGACTTTTAACTTTGCAAGTAGTTAATCCAAGGTTTTAAAAAATAAAATATCATAGTGTTAGTTCCATGTTGAAGATAAATTCGAAAAAAACATGTCTAATAGTTGTCAAAACTCTGGCAAAAAATCTTTAAAAATCTTCCATGTTGTATGTTATTATTCCTTGGTTTTAGAGGGAAAACCATGCTTTTAGTTCTTATAAAGTTTTGACAAGTTCAAAATGTCAAAACTATAAGACGTCGATGACGACTAGTTTTGGAACTAGTTTGGACTGCGTCGAAAGCTATAAGACCATGACGAGAAAGTATAAAGGATGTAATAAATAAGACCACTTTCCACAGTGTTCATACATCGAATGTCATCCCAAAATTTAAAGTCAAAAAGACAACTAATGTGATTTTATCTTGTTTTCTATCAACTCTTCAGGAGAGAGGAAGGCAAACAAACAATGAAGAATTTGAATTATATTGAACATTGAAAAAGGGAAAGTTAAATGAAAAACACGGAAGAAAGTTCTGGAAGCTTCCTGAACAGACGCTCCAATTTTAGAAGAGCTTTTTCAATTAATAGATTAATTAATTTAACAATTGTAAGGCTTTAAAAATGTTTTGTATCTATTTGTTCAATAAAATTTCGATTCTTAAGTAGCTGTTTATTCAGCTGTGTTTTTAACACGTACAAGTACACCTTCCGACGCGTACTTGCAGTTAACAATTAAGCTCACCATAATTAGTGGAATAAGACAGCATTTTTTATTCAAAAAAAAACAAATCTTTGCGGCAAATCTACTTTAAAATTACGGATACATTTAYTAATTTGATCATCGATAGATTATTTTCGCCTTTTCGTTTATTTTTCTCAAAATACCTAAGGTTTTTCTTCGCCTTCTTTCGAACTTTCACTACAGTTGGCACAGTCGTCAGTTATCATTCTGCCTGCGTCTTTCTTTCCCAAAAATTTTTTACGAATATTTACACTGAGTTTTTGAAATAGTTTCAAGTCATATTTAAAAGAATTTGCCCTATTTTCTAATTTGAGTTAAGACTCAAATCCTTGTGCAATAATTGTTACAAACTTCGTCTTGTTGTGTTCGACGGCTTTCTTCAGAAAATCTAACCAAGAATTGTCAGCTTCTAGTGTAAATTGAGAGTCTCTGAAAAGAAAGAAAGGAAAACGCTTTTAAAAAGGTTAAAATTGAAAAAAGTTTGCTAAAAAGAAAAAGAAAGCAGAAAGTAAAACAAAAAATAGCGGGATTTTCAGCTTCAAAATAAGAACTGAATTGAAATTGGGACGGAAATAGAGAAAAAAACATCGACAGACAATGAAAAAAAAGAAACTAAAACAAAAAAAGGAACTTACCTTGATTTTTCAAGCAGGTTAACTAAAATATCAGCCAATTGATTAATCTAATGGTAAAATAAACAATATGTCATATATGACATCCTTCCTAGTCTTGTTTCCCGTGGGGGTGGTAGTGGGGAGGGGTATGCTGGCTCACACACCCAGTGCTAGGCAACTTCCAGCATATTTCAGGGTTCATGCTACATTTTCGTTACAAAATTCAAGGACTTTTTAAGCACTTTTCAAGCACAAAAATTCGATTTTGAAGGACAAAGTTTTTTGTATTAGAACGTGGTTTAAACATTGATTCAATGTTACAGTGCAGCTAATTCAGCCGGGGCCACGTCCACCAATAAAAAACGATCATGACACGCAACCAACCAGTAAACAAGCAACCAGAAACTCTTCAATTTTCAAATTTAATCGTTATTTATTTCAAAAGGAAAGTTAGAAATAACATTAAGTTCGCATTAAATTCAAGGAGTATTCCAGGAGTTTTGGCGTTTTCCCCTATTTTCAAGGGCTTTTCAAGTGCATTTAAAAACGTGTTTTCAATTCAAGGACTTTTCAAGGATTTCAAGGAGTAGCACGAACCCTGATATTTCCATACCTATATATTTTCTAGAGAATCGCGCTGATTG